TTTTCACGTTACATTTTATATGGACTCCTTTGGACTTGCTCACCTTTGATCTTCTCTTTAGATTTTTGGTAAGGGACCACAACATTGCAATGTGTTGATGATAGACCACTACATTACAGACTGATTGAGAAAACAGAGACTAGGGAAACATCAGACTTTATTAGAGAACAGGGTTATGTAGGCACTTACACCGCTCTTCATGTAGGTGCATCAATATAATGTAATAAGAGAAATGGCCATGAAGCCAATCTGGTCTTGAGCATTTTGGGGTCCTCAGAAACAATGCAAAGGCCAAACAAAGCAAATAACTCTGGTTTCGAAGCAACATATATCTGGTAATGTTTCATCAGAGCTACAGGAAATAGCTTCTTGTATCAAAAAAAGGAGAAGCACGGGAGTGGTGAGAAAAGTAAAGTTCTGGATTTCAGGAGTCCTGCATCGAGCGGTGGAGAGCCCTCTTACTAGCAGTATGATTTTGGATCTGACGTCTTTCTGGATATCAGTTTCTCCATTTGTGAAAATAAATGAGATTTATAATCCTCAAGGATTTGTGAAAAGCCTTGAGATTTATAATTCTGAAGGCTACAAGTTTAAATATTTTCCTTCTTGGTTCATCAATAAACAAATATTAGGAATAAAATATATGACATTACATTATTGTAAATATACTAAAAGGTAAAGTTTTTTTGTTTGGGAAACTTCTTTAGCAGATAAGGGAATACGTAACAAGATAACTAACAGTGCAAGATAACTAATGACCTCAAACTCTTACATGTCACTTTTTAAAGCAATATTAATGATAACTTATGGGTAAAACCTTACTGTGGAACTTTACAACAATGTTCCCCTCATCACCATGATCTCGCTTTATGACTTGAGCAAGTTACCAAAGGCAATTCACATGTCTCATGTACAGTTGGACGGGAGTTAGCTTTTAATTAACTGCCCAATTGAAAGACACTATAAGTGCACATTTAAAGGGATATTGGAATTTTCTGCTATGTTATATTTGCCAACTTCATCTTATTGGCACAGACATCCTATGACTTTGTCTTAAACTTCTTCAGTTAGTTTTCCAGGTAACTCTTATACTTCTGTTAAATTCTGGCTAGAGTGTAGTGTTCTGGAGTTTTCTGTGAGAATGTGATACTGATGTCCATTTTTCCGGCAAAAGCAAACTCAAACAAGATAAAGGATATGGGAAGCTTCTTCTGTTGTTTAAAAGTAAATTCAATGATCTCTCATTCACTCTGCAAATTTGATAAATGGATTAAGGAAAGAATTTTATCAAGTCATGGATTAAAATTTGCACTGAATCAAGAAATTCCATAGTGAGATGTACTGATCATAGATGTTCTTTCAGTTGCTGCTAATTCAAACTTTGACCCTTTATTATCTCAGTGAAAACCAAAGACTTCTTAGTGGAGGGCCACATGTTATGGTATTTCTTTATACTTGGAGTTCTAGGTAAGCCCAGATAGAAAACTTTGATAAGGATTTTAATGTTATGAAAATCATTTGATCAACCATATTTTTTGCAATAGAAGTTCTGATCTTCAAAACAAGGAAGAACATTCTTCCACCAGGCTTTTTATAATTAGCTGAAAACAATTTTAAAAATAACTTAGTTTCATTACCTTCCAGCTCTGTATATGAACCATCTTCCTGGGGCTTTTATAAACACACATACAGAATTGGATCAGTTTACAGAACTGAACTAGTAAATTCATTCTAATTAGGACTCCATAAGGAACTTGAAGCCGTGACTGAGTTCAACAATTCTTGGAGCCATTTTGGGGAGCCATAATGAATGAATCAATTGGATTTTGGAGTCATGTTCTGTATGGCAACCTGAGAGTTACCTTGCTCCTCTGTATCTTGCTCACCAACTTCTCCACCTCATGCCCTGGTCACCAAGGATTTTGAATGGAACCTCACCTTTCTGTTCTCTTCTCCAGTTCAGTCCCTACTCATTTTTTTCCTAGATTTGCATCTCTCCTACCTCACACTACTCCCCCGCCATCCCTCCCAGCTTTCTTAAGGTTATCCTCACTTCCTCTGAAGAGTCTTTCTTGATTCCTCTAGAATGAATTACGTGTTATTCCTGAATTTAACACCTGGGTACCCTGTGCTTTCTACAGTCCTGGCCCTTTTCACATGGTACAGTAACTGTACATTTCTCGCTCCCCACTTGATTGGAAGCTACTAGAGGTCAAGAATGCTATCTTCTTTGAATTTTTAAGGCCTAGCACAAAATACTCGTACAAAACAGTCCCTTAATAAATATCTGTCGGATGACTGTATGAAGAAATAAATTGTTAATAAATTAATAAGCAATCAAAAAACAAAAAAAGAAATAGAAATACAAGAAATTAGTCATACAAGTAAAATTCCAAATCAAGGAACTTTAATTGATTTCTGTCTACTGCTTGTACAGGTTCCCAATAATTTAAGATGCAGCTCCAAGTCATGGCTGGATGACAGTGAATATGCACTTATGAAGCATCCTAAACAGTTCAATAGTTGTTGATAGGCCATTAGCTAACGTAAAAAGCTCTGCAATAGGTATTGCTTGAAAGTTTGTCTCAAATGTGCAGAAACTGGGAGACGGGAGCAATAAGGCTCCCATGCTCTATTATCAAATTGTACACCACTTCTTAAAACAGAAAAAAAAAATCATACAAATTTCCTTCTCTTTTCTGCACCAAAACAGCAAGCTTTTCACTGTTTGTTCTTTTTTTAACTATGAAATTCGATTGATGTGATAACCCTGAAATAGATTAACCAAGCAATTGCTAAAACTTTCCTATGGCAACCAGTCAGGCGAAATTTTTCTGCATCTTTTCTCTTGGAAACAAAAGAAAGAAATCACTTTTTCTAGTGGTCTTCAATCGCAAATACTTGATTCCAACTTCGTCTCTAGTAGAGCTCTTTAATATACAAGCATATTGTCAGGATGTAAAATAACAGTCATGTTGTTTCCCTCAAGGACGTGAGCATACTAAAGAATATAGTCATAATTATGTGTATGCCCTTGCGTGTGAAAAAAGGATGGCATCAGTTACGATATCATTATGGAAAAATGTGAAAACCACCCTGAGTTTTTTCCTATTTACACTCAAATAGCACTCAGGATCTGTCTTAGTCTGTTCAGGCTGCTATAATAGAATACCATAGACCGGGTAGCTTATAAACAGCAGAAATTTATTTATCGCAGTTCTGGAGGCTGGTAAGTCCAAGATCAGGGTGTGGGCAGATCCTGTGTCTGGTGAGGGATCACTTTCTGGCTTATAGATGGCTGTCTTCTAGCTGTGTCCTCACATTGTATAAGGGGGAAGAGAGCTCTCTGGGGTCTATTTTGTAAGGGCGCCAATCCCATTCATGAGGGCTCTGCCCTTATGACCTAATGACCTCCCCAAATCCCCACCTCCTAATACGATCACATTGGGAGTTCAGATTTCAACATATGAATTTCAGGGTGACACAAACTCTTAGTCCATAACAGAATCCTTCAGGGCAGAAGGTTCACAGATTATATGATTTGTTTACAAAGTGACTCATGTCTAGGTCTTTTCAAGTTTTCTTTGTCCTCATGTGTTAGAGATAGATGTAACATTTAATTCCACTTAGGACATTTTAATTATCCCCTTGGATTTCATATATTGAAGTTAGATTGACTTAATGATCAAATCAGTTTACACATATTCATATCCAGGATGTGGGTATCCATATTAAGGGTAACTCGATTTTATTCATTAAAAACCACATCAAAATCACAGTCAAGAAGTAAGAATACAGCGAAAGACACATGGTCCCCACTACATTAATGAATATTTGAGTCTTAGCGTATCTTTCTTGAAACTACCAGCCTGAATGTAATAGTTGACTCAAATGATACTTCCTGTGAATAAAAAGAGATTTTTGCAAAAGAACATTATGATAAGTTCATTTCGAACAAAAGGAGAAGCAGGCAGGCAGTTTTGTATGAGATTATTCATACTGAGGACAACCACCTGGGTCCTTAGTTGTAAGTACCATAAATGTACAAATTCAGATAGTCAGTTAGCCTGTGATGGCAAGTTAAACAAGATATCAGCTCCTCAGTGTAATATTCCTACCCTGCTATTTGAGCAGTAGGCGTGGGCTGGACCACTTCCATGTGACAATTCAGAAACTACAGCAGTAAATTAATTTTTAAACTGAGTCGTACTAAGTGATGGAGTGGTGATGGAAACCCAGAACATATTGATTCTGTTTCCACATCTAAGCATTCGCTGCAACAACTGGTCCATTCCTGCATACTCCTCACCTATGAGGACCGCAAGCCAAGGAAGAATGGATCTGCTGGTAATTTCCATTGCACCGCTTACACACATACTTCACTGCACACAGCAGAGCCTCATTTGAAAGCTGTGCTCTGGGCAGTATAAATAGATGTAACCAAACCAAAAAAGAAACTGTATTTGTTGGGTTAAGTAAAATTAAAAGTGATTCTTTACCAAAGAAGTCCTTTAATATTTCTTGAATATGAAAATGAATATTATGTCTCTCTAAATAGAACATGCAGCAAGACTCGCACTTACTTGATAAAAGAGCTTTGTCTATGAGAAAAACTTACATTTCAGAACATATTGGAATGGAATTTGAAAGCACTGAACTAAGTGTAGCCATAAATTAAGAATGATGGCCCGCTGTTTCTTCCTGCCTCTGAAACTGACTTACCAAGTTGTCAAAAGAAAGATTCTGATTTCTCTTCATGTTAACTCCAGATCTTAAGTTTTTCCCCCTTTTTTCAAAAGAAAAAAGAAAAAGATGAGTAAAACAATCTAGAAATAGTCATTAAGATGGGCAATATAATCATTTTTTTGTTTTTTTAAGAGAGTTCTTTTCTTTAGGAAAGTATCATTCAAATCAATGTTTTTTTTCAATTTTAGTTTGCTGGTAGCATACGTGCAAATCCTCTAACTGGCTTGTTCTTCATTTTCCCTCATAATTTGGAGTGGATTGAGAATAGTCACTTCATTCAGGGAGGACGGAACACACGTGACAATTAACAGCATTAACCTCTACAGCATTGGTCTGCATTTCTGTTCAAAAATTGACGGTAAGTTGACTCAATAAGTTAAAGTTAATGCTGTCTCAACTCCCTCTTTCATTTTTCAATTCAACCGACAAAATTTCTTTGAATTACAATCAGTGGAGAGCTAAAAACAGACGGGACATTTATTAATGCCTTTGACAACTGTTAGTTCCAATTTGCATCATTCTTTGAAACTTGGTACATTGTGCTGTTATTCCCCAACAGATTAATCTGTAAGATGTGGGTGGAACTTCAGCACGGTGACTGCACCTGCTTAAGCTCCCAGGAATTGTTACATTTTAACAGGCAAGGAGTTAAATCTATTTTATTTAAAATCAGTTCTGATAACTATAGAGCTCTAGCTCCTTAAATACCTATAAAATTAAACTGTTGAATATCCTATGAGTTATAATACAGGTGATAATTAGTCAAACGGCATACCTCGAGGAAATACATCCCAAGTTTTTGGAAATTGCCTCTATTTGTATTGGCCATTCCCAGCATACTACACCTAAGGGTTAACAAGGCCACTTAGATTTGAAAGAAAACCAAGATCGCCCTGTTGATGAACTGAGTGTGCTGGTGTACACTTCATACTTCATCACACGAAGGTACACAATGAAACACAAAACATAGGACCAGTAAACTTAGCTTGAATGAAAAATGAAAGATACAGAACTGATTAAAAAGTCGCCGGCAGATTTCATTAATCCAATCAGTTTTAAATAAAGAAATAACCAGAGAAATTAGTAATCACACTATTTTTTTACCTCTCTGACAATCCTTCATAGATGAAATAATTTAGAAGGCCTTCAAATTGAGACTTTTCTCATTCATTGATTGCCAATTTTCAATGGACTGTGCCATGCATGTAAATGATATAGACAGTCAATCTCAAGAATGATAGCTCCAAGTAGAATTGTGGGCTTAATTCGAGAACGATTTTGAATTCCTTACATAGGGTCCTGTGTCAGAGATATTTACTCCCCACCAAACATCCATGTGCTCTCACACACTTCCTCTCCTTGAAAGGTTAGGCAGCGTGTGTGACAAGTTCTGGCTTACAGATTATGAAAAAACTGACATGGGTCATGCATACTAAAACATTCTAGAGAAGCTGCCTAAGTAACCTTGATGTCTTATGTTGAGATGTCATAGCATCTCTCTGCCTGGGTTTTTGAGTGGCCACATGTGGCAACGCCTTGAATCAACCTGCAATATCAATGTAATATGAGCAAAAAATAAACTATTATTGTGTTAAACCACTGAGATTTAGGGGTTAAATAGTCATCTTGGCATAATCTAGCTAACTAGAGCATGGCCAGTGTTCCTTTGCTGTAAATTTTCTAAGCACAAAATGATATAAAGCAGGAGGACCCCATTAACTTTTATTTTTTCTTCAATTTCACTTAATTTATTGAGAATTTAGTACCTGTCAGGCTATATGCTAGATGCTACTGATTAAACATTCAACAAACGGTGTCTAATGCCCAGAAGCTCATAGGTTAGGTTAGAAGGCAAAGACTTAAACAACCAAAAGTTTTAAGGTCAGTAGAAATATGCATTGGATGCTGTTGAAGGAAAGGTACCTAACTCAGACTAGAAAAATCAGGAATGACATCTAGGTGTGTATAGCACTTTCTGAGCCTTGAAGGAAGAGAAGGTGCTGGCCAGGTTAAGAATATGTGAAATAGAATAAGTATGGTTCGTATTGGGAAACTAAGGTGAGATATGTGCAAGGGTTGGAGCACAGAGAGCTTCGAGCATCATTCTCAGAAGATAGATTTTTTTTTTTCTTTTTTGCTGAGGAAGATAGGCCCTGAGCTAACATCTATGCCCATCTTCCTCTATTTTATATGTGGGACACCTGCCACAGCATGGCTTGATAAGCGGTACATAGGTCTACGCCTGGGATTCCAACTGGCAAACCCTCAGCCCCAAAATGGAGTGCATGAACTTAACCACTGCACCACCAGGCTGGCCCCTGAGAAGATAGATTTTTATTCTGAATGCAATGCATTATTTTAAGCCAAAAGAATGAAATAGATGTTCTAGGGGAAAAAAGCTCTAATTACTCTTTGGATAAGGAATTTTGCAGTGTTTCTCAGAGTATGGGTCAAAATTACCCAGAGGAACGTCTTGAAATACAAACAAGCTGCACCCAAAATGAACTGAACCACCAACTAACTGGGAGATGAAGCCTAGAAATCCACACTTTTGAAAAGCACCCTGTGTTATTTACACATAGTAAAGGATGAAAACTACTAGGGCAAAAGAGATTGAGACTAGAAACCTGGAGTCCCACTCGGAGTTAAGAAAAATGAGGACCTGAACTACAGGAGGACCAGAGAGAAGGGAGGAAGGCATTGTGTTCCGGGGAGATGAGGCGGGAATGTTTGGAGTGACGAAGAGGGAGTGTGGCCCCAGGTTTCTGGTTCTGGGGACCAGATTGCTGGTGGTGCTATGTTGGAGAACAACGTTGTGAAGAAGGAAGTTGAGAATTGTTTGACACTTTGAGTTTGAGCAAAGGCCATTTAAAGCCATTTATTTACACAAGACAGTCTTATTTTAGAAATCATGTCCTACATTATAACAAAAATTCTAAAATATTCTCATTTCACATCAAATGCAATTCACCTAATTATATAATATTTGGTTTGTGGCTGTTGGGATAGTTGGCATCATGCCATATACTGTTCTGAAATTGAAGTTTTCTTTTTTGTATTTTGGTGACTTTTTATTCTAGTATCAAACTGTCCTAAAGCTTAGGAAAAGCTCTAAGTTCCTAGCCCTATGCCTGATGGATAAAGGTGTCTGTGACACATTCAAGTGGAGATGTTCAGGGTGAGTTGAATATTTGGTGTAGAACAGGAAGAGGTGGGCAGTCTGGACACCCCAAGGTGACAGTCATCAGCAAGGAGGTGGCGATACTGGTCAAGAAAAGTTGAGCCCTCCTAAAATGAAGGTACTCTCATTTTTGTTGATAGCAAGTCTCTTTGCACAATAAAAAAGTACCCTAAATTTGTATAGCAATAGACCTTTCTCTCTGATTGGTCAACATTCTTTCATATAAATTTATCTAAATTATTCTCAAGTTTGAAAGGAATATTTTTATATAAGGAGTAACCCATCAAGAGATTTAAAGCTCAATATCTCATTACTCTAATTTTTCAAATTCTATAGAAAAATGGTTAACCACAACACAAATGCAGCTTTCCTAAAATTGCCATTACAGACTTCTGCCTCAAATGCCTAAAAGGTACATTTTAATTTTGTATATGCCTAATAAATTTCAGTAGTCGTTTCTAATGAATATATTATTCAAGCTTTACACGTAGGAAGTAATACAATTAAGGAAGCTTAAGCAAGTGGCTTGCAAAGATTAACCAACAATTTTTCATAACCCCAATCAAATTTTGAATAAATGAGATAATTCTTAAAATTATTTTTCTTAATAGCTAGGCTTAACTTGGTAATTCTTGGAGTATCACTTAATAAGGATATTCTGTCCTCTAATTTATAAATTTTAGCCTCAGAGGTAGATTTTAGGAGCTCGGATAACCACTATCAAGATATGAAGAAGTTTTCAATGACATTTCTAGCTTAATTTGTAACAACCAATGGAATTGCCTTAGTACTAGTCCCTGAAAGCAAAAGAGGATAGGTGGGAAATGCACCAAATGACACTTTACAACTCCTGCCTGCCTGAGTCATGTACCACTTTATTTTTCAGTCGTACTGTTCATTGAAAGATCTCTAAGTGTTTTATGAACCTTCATTAACGTTCACAGTACCAAGTACTTGCTGAAGCAGCTATTCTGTTATTGCCAGAACACGGAAGAGGAAACTGAAATGCTCACGGTCTAATTCCACTGAGAGAGGAAGTAAATCATTCATGAGAGCGGAATGGTAACTAGTTCAGCTCATCACTTCCCTGTACCAGCTGAGATATTAAGATGTGACACAAAGACACCGGTGTTAGGGCCAAGAAACAGATCCCTAGTCTCTGCACTCCTATTATCTGGCCTAGTTTCTTTGGTTCAAAACTCTTGGAACCTTGGCATAGACCTGTACCTACCTAGGTAGAAAGAGGAACAAATATACTGGTTTTCCATTCACTTTTATGTATGTATGGGAACATATTTATCATTAGGTGGGTTCTGAAATTAGATGGTTAAGTCGGTTAGTTGGTCAGAGAAATTACATTTAATAGGGAGAAAGAGAAAGATACAAAGAATCTGTAAAGAATTTTATATGTCTAATTATACACAAAAATAAAGGCCCAATCCTTTATTACTGTTTTTAAAAGCACTGAAATACATGTGGAAAATGTAGTGGAGAAAAAAACTGTGGGATACAACACTACCTAGATATAGCATTAAAGAGGAAATAAAAGAGACATGAGACTACGCATGTGTGCATTGAATGACATAAGAGTATCTCTGTGTAGAGAGAATAAGCCAGAAAAAGAAAAAGTTCATGTGAAAACAAAATGATTTTTTTTTTCCAATAGAAAAAAAAATAACTCAGATTGAAAGTGACTTTTGACAATTTGGTTTTCCTTTTTCTCAGAAAAAAAAGATGGCATGGTTATGTTAGCTTTTACTCAATTTGCACCTAGCCTACTTTGATTTCTGCTGGGTTAATTGGTTTAGTCAATCCAATGATAAGTAATGGTTAATTTTAGTAACAAATGGCATATTTGATTTAGGAGAACAAAGCCAAATAGCTAAAAAGAGCTCTTGAAATTCACTGACCAGGGAAAATCTATGTTGGTTTTTCCATGGAAGAGAAATGACTGGTGTTTATTTCAACCCAAAGAGAGAGGGAATACGGTTTCTGTAGATTGCCAGGATAATTTTTCCAGAATTTAAATGAAAATCTAAACCGGAAAAGAATGTTGAAAGAGTGTTTTGTTTTTGTAACATGCCAGGATTTTAAAAATGCTGGGACATTCAGGTCATTACATGATACAAAAGTTCACCTATAGAGATCTTTCTTTTCTGGGTGATAGTTAAAAATTT